CAATAATTACGCTAATAATTCAAACTTAATCGTATTAACCAGTAATTGCTTCCCCAAAGGCGTCCGCGTAATATCAGAAGCGAATATACATTACCCGACGCCTGCTTCCGAAAAGTGGAAACTAATTAATATCAACATAGAGATATTACACCGGCCGGTCTGTATACGCGGAGAGTGTTCATTCGGCCATGAATTAAACCGGAACAATTTACGGGGCGGTCGGACATCACGGTGTTTCCCCGGCCCGTAAACGCAGGCCGGAGCCAGATCTGTAAACGCTTTCGTCATCTCGTCGAGAGGGATACGCATCATTATTTAACCGCAACATAATCCCGGTATCAACCACGTAGCCAGTGAAAGAGGAGGAGATACCCCTTGGGTTGTATGGAGGGGTATCACGTCATTAATCCGACTCCTTTTAGATAACGAGGCGACCCCTTTAATTCGCGCGCGCTCGCGCGTTGCCAAGCCCCTCTCCTTCTCTCTTAAGCCCTAATCCCTTCTAACAAAAATACACAGGCCGGTCATGAACCGGAGCAACACACACGGGTTCATTCGTGCTCTTTAGCTCCCGCTGCAAGCGACGCCGCTTAATCGCGTTAAAGGGTTATGAATGGTCGTGGAAAATGTATGTCCCCGTGGCGCACGTAGACACCGCCAATTAGCGCATTTAGCGTTTTTCGAGGGGAAACTACCATCGCTTTCTCGTCCCCCCTATTTATCCGTAACGGTGGCTTCGTGCTTTCCCTCTCGTTCGCTCTTTCTCATCCCTGATAACACTGAGAGTCATATGTATTGCGGTATATCCATTACACTACCGTATTTGCATCATTAACATTCTCCCTGCTTTTTGGAGCGTGGAACAAATAGTACAGCATTCGGGGGACAAAAATGGCTCGTGGGGTACACATTTACTTTACTATACTCCGTTGCCACTATTACACACTACGGCATGTTGTTATCGCGTAATTTACAGAAGATGCACAATGTACTCTAATTAACTTGTGAATTAAGTACGAAGGCGCAGACACAGTATAACGTGAATATATATCCGAATAAATATAAATAAAAATGTAAAATTCTCCTTTGTTTTCTCCTCCGACAAAAATATTTTATTGCGCAGGTGTATGCCTTGCAGAAATGATTTTGTTATTTTACCTTGCCAATTAACGCGTCGCGATGAGTTCGCTCATTGAAGCGCCGCTGAATGGAGCGTTCGGTTCAATAAGCAACCATAGCGGAAAGCCTTCGTGTCCGGAGATAAAACCAACGATGCCGAAGACAAACATCAAGAATCTCTTTTTCACACAAAACATGCTAAACTTTAGGAGATAATATTTAGAAAAAAAATACGCTCATATATCGTCAACGAACATTTTTTTAGAAATAACGGTTGTTAGAAATAACGGTTCAATTGCATAATTTTTTTATTTTGTAAAATTTGGTATAAATTTTTGCAACGTTTTTTTACGAATGATATATTGTTATTTAGATAATATTAGTTTTTTTGTGATATTTGTAACGCGCATGTTTATCATGCACATATCCTCTTAATATTGTGCTTCATAGCGTATAATTGGCAATTACTCGAGCCATAATGATAAGTACCATAACAATCAATTTAATCCTAATGTGCATACGTTTATTACGAGTAGTTTGTAACATAAATTCTAGCTCATAAATACAGAAATCAGATAAGCAAGGAAGCCATTCATGTGAAAGAAATTATACAACAATCGCGAATATAACTAAGAGAAAATGTCAGTGAAGAAACTATGACGTTGCCGACAAATTAGGACAAAACCATCAAAAACTTTGTTGATGCTTCGCGGATTAAAGCACGTTCACCTGACCGTATTTGAGACGGAATTAACGCCGGTTGCCCGACATTAACTAGTCCTCCCGCTTCTCCGCCCTTGTCCCAGTGGCAGTCCAGCAGCTTGGCAGAAACGTTTGTTTTACGACGCTAACGAGAATACACCATCTCCTCTACCCATCAAACCCGCGTGACGTGACAACACCGAGGTTAAATTCTGGGGTCGCGAGAGAAAGAGAGAGGAGAGAGAGAGAAACTGTGTGTGTATGTGTGTGTGTGTGTGTGTGTGTGAGACAATCGAAACGCCCATATACATATATACTAGGCAAACCGGTGTCTCGAAGCGACCGAGCCTCTGACACCCGGGATACATTGTTTGAGATGCTGTTAGGCTCGTTCCGATCTAGTCAGCAAAGAGTCGGGGCCGCGTAGATCGATGTAACTCTCCCGCGTGAATGTCGGAGGGAATGCATGTCGCGTGGGTGATGGTGGGAATCAACAGAGCGAGAGTGGCACGGACATAGGGATGTGGGACAGCAAACGCGCTTGAGCGATAGTTTTATCACGGAGGTAGATCTCGCGAGCGATCCGATAACCGTGTTTCCGCGTGCACCAGGTGCATCAGAAGAAGCTGCTCGCAGCCAAAGGTGGACTTCGCTTGAAGCTTACGAATTCGAAGAGTAGCAGGAATAAAAAGAAAGAAAGTTGTCCATTTTTAACTTTGAACAAATAACTTTAGTAAATTTACGAATATTAACAAAACTAATCTATGTGGTACACTTACAAATTGTATGTTTTTTACAACAAATAGATAGAAAGATCAAATGAATGAGCAATTTAATCGATCTATAAAAAAATTGGTTTATTAAAATAACTACAAGAAATTATAAACTAGTTGTTTATTAATATAATTTAAATGGAATTTTTCGACTATATTAAGTCTTTTTCAGTTAATTGTAATAAATAATAGAATTGATTAGAATAGAAAGATTATAAAAAGAAAAAGAATATTTAATAACAGAAAAGAATCCAGTATGCTTTAGTTATTCATGAATCCGCTACTGTGGCAGATGCCACATAAAAAAAATTGCTACATAATAGAATAAAAATATAATCAGATTAAATATCTTTAAATAAAACTCCGCAGCAAGAAGATTCCTGCTCCATTTCCAGTAGAATCTTAATATATAAATTTTTCAATTGTTCTTAATAAAGAATTATTGATTTTTCGGTCAAGGCAAAGATGATACCAAAAATATTGCATTTAAATTTAACGAGGCTAATACAATTTCAAAATTATTAATACTAAAAAGTAAAACGTTACTTTTTTTTTTAAATTTTTTATGGAATTTTTTTAATAGGATTTTATTTCCTTACAATATTTACAGAAAGTTGTTAAAAATATTTATATGTATATAACCTATATTTATATATATATATATATCCTATAAGTTCTACTAAAAGAACTATGAATTCTATAAGCATCTAATAAAATTTTTATTTAAAAATTTTGATAAAGGAAAATTTTTATATGGAGCAATTTTTATATGGGCAATTTTTTGTTACAAAGAAACAAAGAAAAGTATAAATTGCAAGTAAACCCAATAACAATTAGAGAAGTTGGAAAGTTCTATTAGACTCTTGCCATTTCTCTCTCTCTCTCTCTCTCTCTCTCTCTCTCTCTCTCTCTCTCTCTCTGAGAGAGATATAAACTTTTATATATTAACTTTACACTTAAATTACTTTTAACTTTTATCTAGTGCAATACATATATGGAGATATAATATTGAATATGATTAAAAAATGTATGGAATTTTAAATCCATTGTAAAGATGATAATATTTATGATAATACATATACTACAAATTTCATATCCAATTTTATAGAAAATTCAAAATTCAAATTTTTTTTTATCAATCGATAAAAAATTGAAATATAATTATATTTTTCTTTTATATATAGCGAATAAAATATAAGTCGGTTATGTTGCATTGTGAAAATTCTCTCCGATCTATTTATTTCTATTTCTCTTTTTTCATTGTAATTGAACGTCCCTCGTAACACTTCTGAAATTTGACGCGTTTTCCAATTGTAGTGAAAAATTCGACAAAGAGGTTTTAAATTTCAATCTCGATCGTCGTATGAGTTTAATTAATTTCGGAATTTTTATCTAAAAAGATAAACTCAATCGTGTTAATTGTGTTAACGGTGAAATATTAAACTGTAGTTTTGAATAATCGAGCATAAAATTTTATGAAAAAATCTCGCTGTTTTTATGTCAGATATTTTGAAGTGATTAAAGATCCAAGTTTTTAACTAATAAGTAGACACACAAGGTGTGGAACGCGATATAATCAAATAAATCACTGACGCTAAAGTTTGGCTGCGTCTGTAGGTGTTGCACCTGGTGCTTAGATACCGTATCTCTCTGAGACACATTTATCTTGAATAATTGATTATTCTTCTTCATCCTTTACCAATACTTTCTTAAGCAGAATTATGCTTAAATTGTGTATTTGTTTTCTCTTCTATAATCCCCGCCCTCCCCCCCCCCCCCCCTCTCTCTCTCTCTCTCTCTCTCTCTCTCTCTCTCTCTCTCTCTCGCAATATTCAAAACCCCTTTTCACACTTGGTTTGCTTCGCGCTGTTTGCGGTCAGCCAAGACCTCTCCACCAAATATTCAGCTTAGTCTCTAAAGGCTGCCACGAGTGAAAATATAACCTGAGGGAATTTTATTTCATTGTTGTGGGACAACCTGACGTCTGGTAATGCTGTTCCCTCCGGTGAACAGAAGCTATAAGCTTACCACAAAACAGTCGGTTTACTCTCGGATTTCTCTCCATACGTCGCTAACAAAATCGCGAATAACCAACATATTGCCAATAGTGCGATCATTGCCGATAGTTTTTGCGAGATACAATATTCACCGTTTGGCACAAATATTTTTCGTAAAGCGTCGAACCTTTACAACATTTTTTTTCCGTGAGGTATTGATAAAGTAAATGTATAAAGCTCAAATATTTATTTCGGTTTATCGCGAAGTTGGATAGTAATCAAAACTATGATGACCAAGGCGATGAGCCAATAAACGTGAACTGCACTGTACCTTGATGACATTGCGACGAGCTCACGATTCACGAGAATTTTGTCGGTTCTGATTTTTAGCTATCCTTGGTTGCACGAATATGAGAGTCCACCGATTGTCCAGCTAGTTTTCATCGGGGCATCGGGGATCATCACGCTTGACTGCACCATCGTTTCAAGTTAGCTAAGCGCGCAGCGGCTAACTCTCGCAGAGTAGAAGATAAGGGAGGAACTCGGGCGAAGAATCCCGAGGTTCTACGACAACATGACTGCGGAGATGCTGCAGTGGATGCTGCGGATGCCAAGGTACGCTAGAAATGATACCGACTTAGAAGTAAAAGACGAAGGATGATCGAACCTAATATTTCCGTGATCTTTAACAAACTAACATAAGTATATCAGGAGAGGAAAGTTTTATTCTGTAAATCGTACATTAAAAAATTGACAAGTATTTTCAAGTGAAAATACTAGCGTGTGGGAGATCCTTGTTGCGTGCTTGTAGTTTATGTTTATATTTCATTAGTTTCCACGTAGATCCGTTCCTGACAAGGAACCGACAGTAGGGAAACGAGGTTTCGCTGTGGAGAATTCAAGTGCATTCCTAGGAGATGTGTATCCCTGTCCCGTTTTGGCAACAATAATTCGACATGGCGAACAGCCGCTCTTCGAACAACTTGTCACTTAGCTCGCCATAGTTTATACTCGGCAGTGGCTAGGGCTCAGTTACAGTCTGTTAAATTGGGGCACAGCTGGCAGCGTAGACGAGCGCAGGAGAGGGAGAGCAAATGCAGATTTTTGGCGAGAATTCTGAATAAAAGACGTACTGAAAACGTTCATATTGAGAAAATTTTATACAACAGCCTTATTAATTATGTATCTGCGGAAACTCAAAAATTAATAAACTTTTGCATATGAGTGACAAGATTTCCATCATATTTTAAAGTTTGATGAACTTGGTGACGTCACATAACACGGCTTGCATTATTTATTAGAAATGAAAAGCGGAAAATCATTCGATAAATATTAAATATATAACAAATTTACATCGAAATGGTCACGAGTTAGATAAAAGTTTAATTTGTGTTACTTACAATGAAAATGTTGAAAAATCTTTTCTCTTTAACAAAGATCTTTATACTTCTAGTACAGGTCATTTTATTGAAAGCAAAACGTACCGATGTTCTCTAAGGAGAACAGCCCAGATTACAGTGCAAGGTGATTAAATTCGCGTGATGACGAATAATCAGCGATTACCGTCGCCACAATACGTATTCTGCGCAATCCCAAATGGAAGTTTCTGTTATTCGGGAGGTAGGCAATCGATACTTGGCTTCGTATTACACACATAACCACTTTAAACGATTACACGAAATGCCTGGTTGTACACATTAAATCGTATGGCCGCCGAGTCCTTTGTACGCGTTTGTACAAAAGAGCTCGTGCTCGCGATAATCATTCGCCGTTTAAATAATAGCTGTCAGTATTTCGTGGTAGCGGCGAGAGAGTAAGTTCCACGCTTGGCTAAGTTCCATGTATGTTTCTGCATCATAGTGAAGGCTCATGCTGGCGAATTTTATGCGCAATCACGTCGCAAAAAGAATAAAGGTAGATTTCATCAAATATGTACGCGGACTGTCTGCGACAATATCAATCAACCGTGAAGCACGTGTCGTTCCGCCGTACGAAAACTTTCGGATATCAAACTCATTTTGTCACCGACAGAGGATAGTAATTAATATATTCCCCGGGGATGCAAGGGACAGGAGTCCATCAGGGTTAAATACGATAGTTGTCGAGAGGCTCCGATTCAAAAGCAACTCGATTCCGAACTTTCAAAATTATTCCGTCCATAATTTTGCATTTATTATTGTATAGTAGATAGCAGATTAACCAAACCCTCGCAGATATAAATATTTCTTCTACATTTTCGTAATGCCTTTGAAAAATAAAACATCTTAATATGAAACAACACAAAAAAATAATTTCAAAATCATGTTTGCGTGATGCTTGAAAGTATTTTTTAAAATTACTTGAGATATTAAGACATGAAATGATAGAATTTTTTAGAAAAAAAAATACATTATTTTTTTAACTGAAAAATGTATGAAATATCTTTATTTTTCTTCTTATAATTCTTTTGGATAATATTTTACGAAGAGTTAATATTTCTTACAACATTTATTTTAATTTTGTTACAGTATGTTACTATTTAGAATTACTTCAGATTAAATTATGCATATTTTGATTGTTTTTTTATATTACTGTATACGTTTATATTACTGTATATTACTCTTAACATAATTTTTTTACAACTTAATTGCACGAAAATTAAATTATGAAAATAAATTTATTGAAACCTATTATATCTTTTGGAAAACCTTAAAAAACAATTATACAAGCTAATCACCTTTACATACGCACTTATTAGATGTTATATTATAAGAAATTAAAATTTAATTTTATACACGAAAATTTTAATTTTATTGCGAAAATATTCATAATCTAGTGCGAAAGGAGAATTTTAAACGAATTTATTACGCCGTTGGATTACAGTTTGATTATCTGGATGCAAGATAATTGCAGTGTTACTCATGTGCTCTTATTGCCAAACTAACGCAATCGCATAAATCACGATACGGCGCTAATTATTCTCTTTGGTCGAAATTCATCTCCTTGTGAATTATACATATAAAGTGATTTCCCGTGTGCGTCATAAATTATTTCGCGAATGACATTTCCTGTTCGTGTCTGCCTATATTGAGATGATTCCGTAAAAAAAAAAAAAAGAAAACACTAAAAATAAGTGACGCTGCACATTTTCATTTGCATCAAAACCAGTGTTGTGAGAAAAATTTCTTTTTCGAATTAATGAGACGAAATATATAAATGTTGATAACGTCAGAAATGAATGAGCGAGTTTTCGTTTTCTGTTGTGATTATAATTATTTTCGATAAAACGCAAAATATACGAACGCGCGTTACAGCACGATCATGATAAATTTATCATCACCGCAAGCACTCATTTTGCTAAATGCAAAGCTGTGATAATTCGTAGCGAGGCCGGACGCGATATTGCAAATATCCGCCGCAAATTATTTTTCGGCGGAAGCGTTTTCCTACCCACTCGCTTGTTTGGGAAAACGCGAGCGTGGCACGCGCCTGTCGGGCAAACCGACAAAAATTCAGCGACTTTTGCCGCGCATTTCCTACGTATTCGCTTCGAATTACGCCGCGGTCATTATGGTAATAACCGTTCGCGTATCTCACCGGCTATTAATTCCGGCAGCGTATATAAACCCCGTATTTATGATCGCGAACGTTGCCGATGCAACACACCAGCCAGCTGGAAGGTTGTTGCTGCTGTTACCGCTGTTGCCGTTATTGTTGTTGTTGTTGCTGTTGCTGCTGCTGCTGCTGCTGCTGCTGCTGCTGCTGCTGCTGCTGTTGCTGCATCGTGGCGCGACGTTCCACGAATGGTCGCGAGAGCCATATTAAAAGTCGGAAAATTGAAAATGAAACAGCGTCGTGCTGCGTCACTGTTCGATTGGACGTCGAGACGAGGATGGGAGGAGAAGAGAGTGCTATGTGGTGGAAACGACAGACACGCGTAGGTGCGAATTTTTCGCGTCCCTATCTCGTAAAGTCTCATCAGACTTGCGCTTTTTTTTTTTTTGCTTGTTCGCTGTTAGCGCAGCGGAAAATCGGAATATATACTGGTTTGCCACGGTCGATGATTCACCCAGCGATGACAGCTTTTATCAACGAGTTATCACACGAATCGGTCATTAAACAAGATACTTTAGGCGATAAGAGCTTCTTTTACTAATATCCTTCTCGAGGAATGTCAAGTACTGGATGATGAATTAATATTTTATAAATTATCTGTGCTTTAACTAGAATGGGAGAAATGTAACCCGATGAAAACACGACAACTCTAAGTCTCGGAACACAATAAGTATAGTAAACTTTAAGCCGTAAGCTATTGATCAATCACAGTGAGGAGAATAATCGACTTTTGGTTGGTTTCTTACGGCTTAAAGACTTACTGGACCTATTGTGTTTCATGGTTGTAAGATAAATGTATCAATTTAATAGACATGATCCAATTATTGGACGGAATAATAAAAAATTTAAATATTAAGCGTTCAAAGCGTTCATGATATAGAAGCAACTTAAAATTCTTATTAAATTTTTAAATTATGAATTTATTTGGAGTCGTAAATGTCATTAAAAGTTTAATATTTACAATTTTGTCATTTCGTCAATAATTGAATCGTATCTATTACCATCTATGAACTGGTACATTTATATTACATTCTAAAAAATATTAGTATGAATTTAACATTATGCACTGTCATGTAGGTAATTCTCACTATAATATGATGTTAATATTAACATCAACATGATGTGGATTTAACACTAGATTTTAAATCCATACTATAATGGGATGTTGATATAAACATTAGGGATTATAAATTAACATCGACATGATGAGAATTATATAGACACTGCATGATGTTAAATTCAAACCAATATTTTTAAAGTGCGTGTATAAATCATTCATTGACTACAAGAATAAATTGAACGGTAGGAGAATCCATTTCGCGTTTGATAAAACGAACTACGTTCGTTTTGCTCGTATGTAGAGTAAACTGCGTAAGAAACCGTTCTCGTCATTGACACAACAGGATTGCAATTTCGGTGCAAGTCGATGTAAGTTGAACAAAACGCGAAGCCAGAGTTTCAGCAAAAAGCGCTTCAGTAGCGAGATCAGGTAAGGACGATTTGAGAACGCGGACGTTGAACTCGCCGCACATAGGGGGATCCACAGGAAATTTCCGGGATCGGATCTTGCCTTTACGAACGCAGAACACACACGTTCGATCGCGATGGAAAAACCTGTTCGGGAGCAATGGCGCAGCTGGGAACGTTTGAGGGAATAACGAGGGAAAAAGGGCACTCCGTCTCTCTTAGCTGCGCTACGACACTCTGCCTGCTTCGGTCTCTCCCTTCTGCTCCTCCTCCTTCATCGTGCTCGGTTGGTCGGTATCACTGCTTCACGGTAGGATGGCTACCGAAAATACGAGACGAAGGGGGTAGCGGGCACAGACAGAGAGAGAATTTCTCCTTTAGTTCGCGATCTACAGAATCTCTCGTTCCTCTCGTTGCGAGCTACTCGCTTTGCTTCGCGGTAAAATCGATCGGTTATGAAAACTCGCACAATATGCGAATACCAGTTACATACCATTACCATTTCATCCTTTTTCTTTCGAAGCATCTGATATATGTTTGAATCTCGATATATA